CCAACCTGGCTGATTGGCGATTCTTTGATACATTCAAGGAAAAAGATGACGTCTCACTTAAATTACGCAGTAAAATCATACCCCCATATACTTCGTGACTTTTGTCCGGCCATATCCTTTTCAGCCCAACTTTCGGGCATCCACTGACCATAAATTACCACAGGTAAGTGGATGCTCACAGAACTGATTGGGGAACTGGCATTGATTGAATAGCCTTGACCTTGTCAGAGTCAGTTTTAACTCTGTCCTTGTAAATAACAAATCCTACGTACTTGGTCTCTTTTTGCATGAAATAACACCTTTTAAGTTTTAATTTCAAATTGTGATTCTCAAACCTGTTGACCGTTTGTTGGAGTGTATTTTAGAGGTTCCGTTACAGTTGACCAAAATCTTCAAAGCATTCTGGTTCCCAGACCATTAGTTCTTGAAATAAATCTGGAGCGTTAGATAGACTAGATGGCATGATATTGAAGTCAAGTAATCCTTTATAACAGATTTGTCTTAACCGTCCCTGTCTATCTGCCAATAACTGAATTTTAATGTGGTGAAATAATTTGCTTCACCTTGAAACGCTAGAATATCAACAGTTAACGGTAACGGATAGGTGTTAACCTTCGTGATTTTTTAACTGTCATTTAGTCTACACAGATACGCTTAGAATCATCTTTCTTATCAACTATCATTACAGGGAAAGTCCTTGGGACATATCTTACCTATCCTTAACCATCCCAAGTAAAAAAAAAACGCTACCTAGTATAACATTCTTAAACGTGTCTTGCACTACATAAAACCTATGTGTCAGCGTTTCGTTCCCGTCTTAAAAGCAATTGTCGACAGACAATGCTCCCCAATTAACTGATTGCAAATGAACTTTTTTTATTTAGTCATCTGATACACTCTCTTATGTATTAATGAAACTTCAGCGCTTTAAACTACTAGTGTCCTAATTTGTTATTTTGATTAGTACCGAATTTGGATTAATAGCCAAACTAATTGTAAACATAACTTCTTTATATCTTCTACTCTTACTCCTGCTACTCCCGACACCGGCCTTGTTATGGCGGGAGTATTTTAGTGGGTTTTTTTTAATTCTTTTTCTCCAGCTGTAGACACCTATCCCTTATGTGTGGCCCCTTACAATGCCAACATTGCAGTGGTCCCCGTTGAATACCCCCTTTTTGATAGGCGTTCACCTGACCTCTAGCAGCTTTTCTCTGACAACTTCTACACTCTTTGGCCGTATGGCCTGCTTTGTTGCACTTAGAGTAACGCCTATTCCGGCAGTGATCAACTTTCATCGCTTGCACTTCCCGTGAATCATAGCCATGGTGGCTATATGACTGGAGGTTAAATCTCTTCCGTAGATTTTCCTCCCTCCTAACTATTGTTAGCGCCTTGTTCAAAGTGGCGGGATTTCACTTATCACTTTCATGCGTAGATAATTTTGATATAAACCTTTTGTGAAAAAACCTGTCAGTTGTCTATACCGCGTTGGTCACTATGACATGTCTTCCAAATGCGTCACGGGCGATTCCTAACAGTCTACGTCCTCGCCTTTCCCCTGCTTTATAGAGGTCAGTAGATCTAACGCATGCTGCATGTCCTCAGCAAACCTGATTTATAATTACCGTTTCACTTCCGACCAAGAGGTATAAGGAAATTCTATGAGATGTCTCCAGATGAAATCTCCCGCAGCACCCTTAGCCGTCTGAAACACTACATACTTTACCCTATCATTTGGTAGCTGTGATAAAACTGAGTAGCTTTAATCGATTCTTTTGGTCCCCTCGAAGGGAGTTACAATTTGAGCAACATTGTACTGTCAAAGCCGTGTTCATGCTACCCATTTGATCGCCCCATATCATCTTAGTCAGCCATTTTAAAGTTCTTAGTTACAATCTGTTACAAGCTACTACCCTAGAAATTGGATACACTCAGATTGCTGGGGGATTGGTCCACTAGGGTGCAGGTCACAACAAAGTACTTACAGAGTATTTTGGGAAAATTTGTATTTCTCATTATGTTAGGCCGAGTAGGAACCTTTGCGTCTTTGCTGTGGTGGCCCAGAAAATTTCCAAATGAGAGAACTGCAATGATTTCGGACTCCGTAAGGTTTGGCCTGAAATGTTAGGGAACCGGATGGTTGTATGACGATTGATGCTTGTTAAGTTGGGTATGGTGGTTGGTAGGTTGCTCAGGGGTGGAAAACAGGATTGCACACCTGTTCACCAGGTGGGAAACTGGGACAGCGGGTCGGGAAAAGTTTTATGATCTTACAAATGGGGTTACAACAGAGATATTTCCAGTTCTTGCACAATTGGTAGTGAGTTATTCTAAGTAAGTGGTGATTGATCGTTTGTTGCAGAGCCTGATCTGGCTAAACTGCCACTGTCAAAACCTCCACCTATAAGAATTTAAGAACTCGGTGGGAGGGGGGCTTATATCATGGTCTATAAATATTTTGACCGGGTTCCTGTGCCTGTATCGTTGCAGCAGTTGTGTTATATGCTTAGTTTCTAAGCCGTTCATTTCAGTCAAGTCCATAGCATCTTTTATGAATAACAGTAACGGCGTTAAAAAGTTATATTTATCATTGGAGGTCGAGTGCCCAGAGTTAGACTCTTGCTATCGGAAGTTGTTACTCAGGGGGGTATTTCGAGGCTTCATCGTACATCTTCCGAAAAGGGCCTTGTCTGTTTCCCCGGACGTGTTGCATAAAATGTATACAAACTTGATACTTAAAAGGGACTTGGAAGCCACTTTGTGGTGTTTTGTTCCTCACGGCTTTCTTTCTGATGGCCCGTAAATCAAACTTGGTAACAATAGTGATAGTTTTGATGGAAGTAAACAGCTTTCACGTGGGGACGTACAGGATTGTGGAACTTACCTATTTGTGGAGGTAAAACGGTTAAAATCTATTCAGTTTGGGGAAAGAATATTTTCATCCCGCTCGCAGCTACTTTAGACCACCCCTTGTGTCCAGTAGCTGCCTTCCGCAATATATGCAGGCGTTGCCCTGCTCCTCCTCATTTCCAGCCTTTCTAAAACGTTCCCCACATAGTTATCTCCCTTTGTCTTATAAGAATTTTCAGATAGCCATTAAGGTTTATGAAGAAAGGGTTGTTCCCAATGCCGAGTCCTATTCCTCCAATTCATTTTGTCGAGTTGGGGGTGGGTCTCTTTCTCTTTTCGAGCGAGTGTCTCTTGAAACTTGATACAGCTTCAAGGGAACTGGCAATCAAATGCATACAAGCAGTACCCGGGGTTCTACATGGGACACAAGCTCACGGTCACAGGTAGCATGGAGTAATCATTAAAAACATCTGTGGAATGTTGAAGAAAGTGTTAAGGAATGGTTACTAGGAGTTGTTGGTAGGGGTCCTGCAGATTGGCTGGGAGGTTTTTGTACAGTATATTTGTATAGATCAGCTGTATGTTTATATATAGATATGTTTATACAGATGAATTTCGCATTGGTTAGATTACATAGATATTATTATGTACCGTAAATATGTCAAAAATTTAAAAATATTTAATGGACGTTCAGATTAATCATTGTCAGAGAATTGTATATAATTATCAGCACTACATAATAATGGAGCTATTTATTAGAATGTCATATAAACATTAGTCAATTTTGATTAAACAATATTTCAATCAAAGTACTTTGTCCTTTTCAGTATCTTTTTCTTATTCGTAGATTTCTTTCAATTTTCCACTAATCTCTTCAAAACTTCTTTGATTTATAAATATTTAGAGCACTGTCGTACCTCTTGACATTTTGACTTGTCATTTCCATTTCCATATTCATATCATTTTCAATACAACAAAATCTAAGTATTTCTTTGGCATAGGACGGGCGTTTAATGTTCACCCCAGGGTACTCTTGTTTCTTTGAGAAATGGCATTGTTTTATTCTTTTGGTCACAAGTTTCTAAAGCTTCCATTCAAATGAAAGATTAAGTGTTGACATGTAACGCCACTGTTTATAATGAAATAGAAATAATGGCGAGAGTTCTTCTTTACAATAGGTTTTCATACACAAATAAAGCTTAGACAATCAGTCAGCAAACGTGCTACTAAAATTACTCGTTTTCGTCCTTCAAATACTGAATTTGGGGGATTTAAATGCACCTAAAACCAACCGATTATATTTCCTATTGTAGAAATTTGTGTTCTTTTTTTATCAAATCTTTAGATATTTCCAATAAGAGTTGAGTTTCGGATTGTGTTAGTCCGCCTTTTAAATGCCCTAGTTTGTAGAAACTTGATCAAGGGTCTTCAATATAGGTCGAGCCTATGTATCAGAAAGATTCTAAAGAAAAATCACAAGAAACGAATTAAACCGACAGAAGAATCGCATAGCGGAACATCAACGTGCTCATTATATATCATTGTCTCCAAGATAGTTTGATAATCTTAAATATTTCGTTGACTTTTCTGAATCGTTCGCACGCACAGAAAGACAGCAATGGTGTCATATCTCCTCCACAACTCGTTCATGTGGATAATCCAGCACCCATTGTCTCCTTAAAGGCGAATGAGTTACCATCGCGTCATCCGGCGCCTGAGGAATGTCACAGAGCAATTCGTGACATGATAGACGTACAATGTGTATGCTACACAGTACATCCGGCTTTTTATCAAAATTGAATTTACAAACCTGTGATTAGTGTTCTGGTCAGTCCATTTAAACAACTACACAGTACATCCCGCCTTTTATCAAAATTGAATTCACAAACCTGTGATTGTTAATGTCCTGGTCAGTCCATTTTCACAGCAGTAGTGAATATACAGGTGTTACACACGGACCAAGGTCACTATAAACGATTGCCACGTGACTATTTATCCCTCTAAACTATTTCTGAATGGACATCGTCCACCTATAAGTGACATGGTCAGTGTCCAGCACCTGTGAGTAAACATTGCAAGGCTATGTCTGGAACCATGCAACAACATCTCTAAACAACACATGCATATAAAACTCAACAAGCCACGAGGCATTTCTAAATTCTTTTATTCAGTTCACACAAATTTAGCACAGGAAACTGAATTAGAAACAAATTCATAATTGACAATATTGACAATTAGTGATCTCTGTATTGCCCAAAACTTTTCATGTATCTGTCATTTATTACATCTCTATAAACAAAGTCATGATAAACCATTGTTTACAAAGGGTGTATTAACTTGATTAAATCCTTTTGAATACAGGGTTTATTGCAACCTGTGCATCATTTGCAATGCAGGTAAGAAACTGAGAATGTTAATAAAACTGACGTTTCCTTCACTTCAAAGCAAAATAAAACAAAACTTATCACCAAAAACATTTTCTGAATCGCAAAATCTATTTGTTCAATAAATTACTGTATATATACATCATATCACCAAACCTTTCTTCATCTGTCCTTCAAAATAATTAAATGAAATCTGCAATTTTTTGGAGGTTTTTCCCTCCTCTTTTCCATAAACCATTCTTCAAATCACTCTTCCATCAGATGTCTTGTCACTCTAATTACCAAGAACATATCTGAGGATCTCCTTGTCTGTGATACTCTTGTGTCAATACAGTGGTTTACCTCTTCAAACATGTCCATTTTATATGATAAAGTTTTACTCTATGGTAAAATAATTATATTTTACACTCATATGACACACACATGATGTGCTGTGAATGAAAAGTGATTAAAATCTTTTCTTTTATGAATACAGAAATGTCAGTACCTAAAAATGAATTATGCACTATACACAAGTTATTTACAATTGTCTCTTGAAAACCTAATTAGACACAAGCACATGACCCAATATTATGTAGGAATGGCATTGTTACCAGAGAACATAAAGCGAAGTTATTTTTTTTCAATTTTAGATGCAGTTAACTTAAAAACTGAATTTGTCTCAGTTAAGAAAATGTTTCGCAATTAATAGATCAACATTGAAATTGTAAAAAATGTTGTCTTTCTCAATTTGCTGTGCTGAGCAAATTTTGGGTATTGATGTCACTGAATTTTAAGTCTGCAGAGGACATCAATGTTTGTACATCAACCAGACCAGACACAATCATACACATATACACTTATCCTGATTTTACTTCCACTACTCACATACAGCCTGAGGACTCGCACTATTTACATAACACTTACAATGATAACACATACAGTGATCTTCCTGATACAATCCACCAATTGCACTTTGTATTCAAATCAACCTTTTGCTCTCCAAGCAAAAAAAATTAAAACGCTATCTCACCAAGGATGTTTAAAACATCTCTTTTTATGAACAACTTGAACAGTATTTACAATCACAAGAGAATAATTTTTTCTTGTTTCTGATTTTTAAACACCTCAATATACCTTTGTATATCAATTATTATCTCTTGTTTAATGGCAACTGTGTTGTTCTCAAGTAAAAAAAAAAATATGAAAATTTGAAAAATAAAAATATAAAATATGATAACATTCTTTTCAAAGATACAGAAAAACAATTATCATTTTACAACAATGAAGTGGTTTATTACAAAAATGAATCATGCCAGTACCCTAAAATGGTAAGTTTTTAAACTTTTTTACATGATAAATTGCACCAACCTTATCATACCTGTATGCTACATGATCTATATGTATTTCAATCTTACAGTTGTACTCTCTCCAATTTAGTGAATTTTTTTTAAAAAACTCACTCCATTAGACCATAATCACTTCAAAAGAAATGTTAACATAATTCTGTACACTTAGTTTTAAATTCTTGTTAATATAACATTCCAGATATCCCGATCCTTCAGTTTGTTTTTCTTCTTTTGCATGTATTTACAAGTTTTCACACAAGTTTTCGAGTTTTTTGCAAAGTGAGATATGAATCCACACTTCACAAATCCATTATGCACAGCCAGATACAAGTCTACACTTCACAAGTCTCTGACACAGAACCAGATATGAATCTTTACTTCTTCAGTCTCTGATGCAGATATATGATACAGGTCTACATTTTTCAAGTCTCTGACACAGAATGAGATACATGTCCATGCTTCACAAGTCTCTGACATGTGATCTAGTCCTCATCACTGTCATCAGCCGCTGAATATGCTGGACTAGTTGGTGAATACTTTGGTGTCGTTGACGTAGCTGTTCCTGGTGTGTATGTGGGGCTAGTGGGTGTGTATTTTGGGCTGCTTGGGGAGTATGTAGGACTTGCTGGAGAATACTTGGGGCTTGTTGGGGAATATGAGGGACTAGCTGGGGAGTAGCCAGGGCTAGTAGGAGATAAGGAGGAATACCCGGGGCTGTAGTTGGGCGAACTTGGGCTGTACTCTGGTGATGTGGGTGTGTATTTGGGGGAAGTTGGGGAGTATGTGGGCGACGTAGGACTGTATTTAGGGCTACTAGGTGAATAAGAAGGACTTGTTGGAGAATAGTTTGGCGAAGATGGCGAGTACTGTGGGGAGCTTGGCGAGTACTGAGGAGAGCTTGGTGAATAGGAAGGACTGGTTGGAGAGTAAGAAGGACTTGTTGGGCTGTATTTTGGACTGCTAGGAGAATAACTTGGACTACTGGGGCTGTAGCTAGGGCTGGAAGGAGAGTAACTAGGAGAACTTGGACTGTAGGAGGGGCTGGTCGGGGAGTAAGAGGGGCTGGTAGGGGAGTAGGAAGGAGAGGTTGGAGAGTAACTTGGTGAGGTCGGGGAATAACTTGGCGAGGTCGGAGAATAACTGGGGGATGTAGGGCTGTAGCTAGGGCTAGTTGGGGAATAGGAAGGACTTGTCGGAGAATAGGAGGGCGATGTAGGGGAATAGGACGGGCTTGTTGGCGAGTAAGATGGGCTGGTAGGACTGTAGGATGGGGAGGTTGGACTGTAAGAAGGGCTGGTTGGTGAATAGGATGGGGATGTGGGTGAATAAGAAGGACTGGTAGGGCTGTACGAAGGACTTGTTGGAGAGTAGGAAGGACTGGTTGGTGAATAAGATGGGGAGGTGGGGCTGTATGATGGGGAGGTTGGGGAGTAGGAGGGACTTGTAGGGCTGTAGTTGGGAGAGGTCGGAGAATAACCTGGACTTGTAGGCGAGTATGAAGGACTCGTTGGCGAGTACCCAGGACTCTGAGGAGTGACAGCTGGAGAAGATGGCACATACGCTGGTGATGCAGGTGAGTAGCTAGGTGACAAGGCCCCAGCCGGACTTGGTATGTATGGACTGGCTGGTGATCCAGGTGATCCTGGCTGAGGAGACCATGCAGGACTGTACCCTGGACTGTAACCACTCTCACTAGCACCCGAGGGAGAAAAGCCAGCTGCACCAGGAGTCATACCACTACCAAATCCAGGGGACCAAGCAGTTCCATATGCTGGGGTGGCACCTTGTTGCCATGGCGTCATTTGTGGAGACATGCCTGCTGCAGGACTGCTTCCCCCACCAAAGAAGAATCCGGTACCAGCTGAAATTAAAATCAATCAGGCATTTACTAATTCATGCATCAATTATCTTTAAAAAAATAAAGCATCAAGCTTTCTTAATTTCATTGAAATCAAAATGTCACTGCTACTGTAGATTGAACTACAGCAATGACAAATAATTGATCTGAAATCAACAACAACTGATCATGGCATATATAACTTACCACCTCCTCCTAAGCCTGGTCCCATGTTCTGAGGTATCTCCATTCCATATTTACACTTTTCGGCATCGAGAAGAAGATCAAAACTTCCAGTCCCGATCTTGGCCAACTGTCCCAACATGATACACTCAGATACACCTTTCATGGGATCAAATTCTCCATGAGCTGCAGCCTCCATCAGAATGTCCACCTACATGGATAAATTATAAACTCAAACAAGTGTCTAAAGGATTTAATGGTAACCTATGTAAATAAACATACACAAAGATCTCTTATACAAGTATCACAGATATTGTGTTATTTAGATGCATAGTCTGAACTTCAATTAGGACTATAAATAGCTCATATGTGAAAATCTAAAAACCCTACTGAGTAGTTTTTAAAGCTATTAGCCACAGCATCCATCTATGTTTCAAGTCTAAATTTCAGGAACAAGCACATATCATAACAAGAGATCCCAGAGGAATCTTGGCGCCCACCATTTGAGGATCTGTTTTCAGTTCTTGAAGATTTGTTCATTTTTTTTTGTTTGTTACAGGTGTTGTAAATGTTCATGAACTGGTCTTCATTGAATATACTCAATGATGGCACAAGATATTTTTATTAAGCACCTATTAGCAAATATCATTTGAAAAAGATCCCAAAGTATTATTAGATAGCAGTCAGTTACAGGTGGATAATGGACAATATGCTTGTGCTGTATTACTGTCGACATCCAAGATGGCTGCCTGTGGGCCATCTTGATTTCAATCAGTCCAAAAAAGGTACAATGCACAACTAGGGACCAAGGGAAACCAATATCTATGAAATATCAGAAGGATCCATCCAGTACTTCCACAGATATAGCAGTAACAAGATTTTACTCTCAAAATCCAAGATGGCTGCCTGTCTGCCATCTTGATTTCGGATCAGTCCAAAAAGGTATAATGCACAACTTGGAACCAAAGGGAACCTGCATATGAAATTTGAGAAAGATCCATCCAGTAATTTCCAAGAAATAGCGGTAACAAACTTTTACATTCAAAATCCAAGATGGCCACCTGTCTGCCATCTTGAATTCGAATCAGTCCAAAAAAGGTACAATGCACAACTAGGGACCAAGGGGAAACTGTGTATGAAATTTGAGAAAGATCCATCCAGTACTTTCCAAGAAATAGCGGTAACAAACTTTTACATCCAAAATCCAAGATGGCCACCTGTCGGCCATCTTGAATGCGAATCAGTCAAAAAAAGGTACAATGCACAACTAGGGACCAAGGGGAACCTGAATATGAAATTTGAGAAAGATCCATCCAGTACTTTTCAAGAAATAGCAGTAACAAACTTTTACATCCAAAATCCAAGATGGCCACCTGTCGGCCATCTTGAATTCGAATCAGTCCAAAAAAGGTACAATGCACAACTAGGGACCAAGGGGAAACTGCATATGAAATTTGAGGAAGATCCATCCAGTACTTTCTCAGAAATAGCGGTAACAATCTTTTACTTCCAAAATCCAAGATGGCCACCTGTCGGCCATCTTGAATTCGAATCAGTCCAAAAAGGTACAATGCACAACTAGGGACCAAGGGGAAACTGCATATGAAATTTGAGAAAGATCCATCCAGTACTTTTCCAGAAATAGCGGTAACAAACTTTTACTTCCAAAATCCAAGATGGCCACCTGTCGGCCATCTTGAATGCGAATCAGTTCAAAAAAGGTACAATGCACAACTAGGGACCAAGGGGAACCTGTGTATGAAATTTGAGAAAGATCCATCCAGTACTTTTCCAGAAATAGCGGTAACAAGAATTGTTTACGGACGGACAGAGTCTCATTGTAGCTGTTACGGACCATATGTGTACCTTACATAAGCTATCAGTTGAGAGACTACTACAGCATGATTTATGGCTTCAGAAAACTTGTCTTGCAAATTGAATGCAGCTACAGCAACCAATAATTTTTTTTTGTGAATGTTCCATTGTTCTCAATTATCATTTTACAGGAAGTGACCTTAATCTTTGACCTGTAGACTTCAAAAGCAAATGAAATACTTTTAATGTACAAATCTATTGAAACTTGAGCTACTGACCAAATCTTGTGTGATGACTTCAACTTGGCAAGCACTTGAGCATATTCAGCAGCACTAATTTTTGTTATATATATTATATGATCCAATTTTTTAGGTATGACACTAAACACCCTGACCTTCAACTCTGAATGTTCAGTATAAATCCTACCAACCAAATTCCTATTAAGGAAGGGCATTTAATCATAGTGACCTTGATATTCAACTCTACATAGGGTTTTGTGAGCAAGCAACACTTTCTGTTTGAGAAAGTAGTGTATAAAGTTAGTGCTACTGGCCTACAGGTTCTGTACCTGTTGAGTAGGGCAAATGATTCTTTGCTATTTTTATCAGTGACCTTAATGGCATTGAGATTCAGAAATGAAAAGCGATCACTTTTGGAAGCAAAGATGTGCAATTTTTAATGTTTTGTTTGAAACCAATTTCCAATTAATAGCAAGGGTTAACTGGACTTTTGAACTTTTAACTTTAAAAGCCATCCTGGTAAATTGCAAGCAATCCCAAGGAGCCATTTTAAAAATGGAATTCTTTCAAAAGCAGAGCTATGCACAGTAAAAATGTTTTAATTTACTTACTGTTTCTTCAAAGGAGCATCTAGCCAGTGCGCCTGTCTCCTGTCTGTTGATTCCATGACGAGTGATAGCCATCAAGTGACCTTTGGCAGTCATCACGTCGCACAACAAAGCCAAGTGACGGTAGTTGACATACGAACCATCAAAGGAAATGACATGGTTCATCTCTTTCTCGATAGACTTTCTCACAGCCTCGATGCCAAGCGTCTGAAAATCATTTTCACAATAGTTTACTATTACAGTTAAAATCATTTTAACAATCATGAATCTTAATTTCAAGTTTCACGCTTTTCTTTCTAGTTTCTAAAATATTTTCTGATTAACAAGTAAAAACTGCTACATACTGCAAAGACTTCAACAATGTCATTGCTGGTTGTCCGGATAGGATCAACATCACGCTGACTGAGAACTTTCATCAATGCAGTTCCATCTGTTTCCAGAATCCATTCTGCAACTCCTTTGAACTCTCCATCTTCTGTAAGGAATATCCTCTTCTTGTCATCAGTATTGGGGAGATGCATATACACCTATGGCAAGAAATATCAACTAATATTACTGTAGCTAAGATCTCCAAAGACTACAAAACATCAACTTCAGAAAAGGTAATATAGAACTATTGAGTAATACAGCACTCCAACTGAAACAGGTTGTTCCATCAAGTAATACAGCATCTCCACTGCAACATGTTGACCTATCAAGTAATTAACCATCTCTATTGAAACATATTGAACTATCAAGTAACACAGCATCTCTATTGAAACATATTGAACTATCAAGTAACACAGCATCTCTATTGAAACATATTGAACTATCAAGTAACACAGCATCTCTATTGAAACATATTGAACTATTGAGTAACACAGCATCTCTATTGAAACATATTGAACTATCAAGTAACACAGCATCTCAAGTAACACAACACAGCATCTCTATTGAAACATATTGAACTATCAAGTAACACAGCATCTCTATTGAAACATATTGAACTATCAAGTAACATAGCATCTCTATTGAAACATTTTGAATTATTGAGTAAAAATATGTTGAACTATTGAGTAAAAACATATTGAACTATTGAGTAAAAACATATTGAACTATCGAGTAATAAACCATCTCCACTGAAATATGTTGAACTATCAAGTAACACAGCATCTCTACCTGAACAGCTTACCTAGGCAAATAACTGAAAACTAGATATATCTGACAAAATAAACCTTCATATTTACATATTCCCAAATAGCAATATTATTACATTTTGATGGAGCAAAATACATGTTCTAGCTCTTTTTATCTAGCAATCTCAAGACATAGATATTTTCATTAATATGTCTGTGAACACCACTCCAAATGGCATACATTCTTCATCACTTCATATGTCAAAAACTCATTATGGCTCAAAATGACAAAGAAAAACTAACAGAAATTTCTGATTGACAAGTTTAAAATTCACCATTAAGATGGTGTGTACCTTTGCTATAGCCTCTATTCCCTGCAAGGTCATGTCAGAGAGCAGATTGGACTCAATGCATCGGAGGAAAACATCATCTTCCATCTTGTCAACAATCTCTTCATCCTGTAAATTAAAGCATGATTAAAGATAACACATTGATAAGAAATCTTTAGAAACTGCAAATTTTAATTTTTACTTTGACACAAAAGTGACTTAATATAATAACTTCAGCTCTTAATATTCTTATATATAATATAATATTATTATAATATTTTTTAAAACTGAGAGTATGAAAGAGGGTAAACTGAAGTCTTTATCCAATATAAACACCAACCATGTGTTTAAGAATTTGTTAACTTACACTTTGCATTTTGCTTTCATCTGAATTCATTATTCGAATTCTGAGCACTAACTTCTCAGCATTGTCATCATTGAAGATACAGTTCAGATCATCTCCAAAACCTGTAAATATATTTGATCCACAGTATTAGAAATCAAAATTAAAACAGACATTTCAATAATTTCACATACGTTTATACAGAACAAAAATTATTATGATTTTGTAACAAGTTCCCTGGAATTTTATCTTTTGCAAATGCTTATCAATTCTTTTCATTTTCCTCACCTGCAGTGATCTTTTCTGAGATTTGCTCCATGGTAAGTTTTTTATCTGTCATCCTCTTTCTGTCCAGTTCAATTCGGAGTAGCCAGGGTGAAATCCTGGACACATCAAAGTCTGGCATTTCATAATAAACATTCACCCACTCTTGGTCCTCTGAAATGACTGTGTTTTGAGGATTTGGGTCATAATAAATAGCTGTGTTTGCTGTGACTTTCCTCAACGTGGTGTGTTCAAGTCGACAGAGTACATCCTGTATAACAAAGTGAAGAAGATAATATAACGACAAAATCACTCTTTACAACATCAATCAACTGACAATCTGTTGCAACATATTCACATTAGTTCTACAATGTCGCTGAATAAAGAATGTATGGTATGATAACTTGAATGAAATTCAGCTCCGAAACATAAACAATTAAAAAGTTTACTATATCACATTGAAACCCCTGACATCATTTGCGGACAACATTGGATTTTATAATTGAAATATCTTCATATATTAATTTTTCATACAATGAAGTAATCACTTTGATTTAGCCATAATCAGACAGGAATAGGGAACATATCACAGCTATCTTTCACCAGAATATTCACTTTCATTAAGGATCATACAATACATAACCAGCTAGAGAAAACAAACCTTGGCCTTTTCAGCATCCCTAGCTCCCTGGCCAGTCAAGTACACAGTAAGAGATGGGGTCTTGGGTTTCTTGGAGATGTTGATGATTTCCTTGAGTCTGGGTACACCAAGTGTTACATTCTTGGCAGATACTCCAGCATAATGGAAAGTGTTAAGTGTCATCTGTGTGGCAGGCTCTCCAAGTGACTGAGCAGCCAATGCTCCAACCATCTCTCCTGGTTGTACCTTCAATAGAATACATAGTTCTTAATTCTCATGTGTAATCAAACTAGAAAGTACTAATTTAATTTCTACATATAAAACTGAACCTCAATCAAATTAATTAATGCATAATCAAATTACTTGCAGCAAAATAAGCAGAAACAACTGAAAATAATTAAAAAAAGGACTGACAAGAAAAGAAAAAGCCAAAAAATTGATACATACATGAGACTGTTGAAAGCGTGTCTCAATTTCACCAAGCAGCCATTCAAATGCTTCAGAGCTGAGTCTGAACTCTTCAGTCACTCGTTTGGCACACAGAGTGGACCGAACCAGACACTTCATCAGAATGGTCGCATTGTAATTTGCCTGGACACTGAGTCGGTCAGTTCCAGGGACCGTGTTCAATCTTTTACACAAATCAGCAACACCTATAACACAAAAAACACTGATGCAAACATCTACCAAAGTATTTTTTTCTCAGGTTACAAAAGAATATAACATGATAAAATTAAATGAGACTAGAAAAATATCACCATATATATATATTACCATTAACTTGCAAACACATGTTATATGTTAAATATTGTTTTTAAAGACTACGTTTAGTTTGGCATCAAAAATGGAAGTTATACAGGATTCACAAATGATTCTAAAAGGAGAGAAAGATCATAATGACAAACTAAGGCACAACAATTTGAAATTATTGGGAAACTTGGAACTTCACACTGATATAGCAAATTCATGTGATAATATGTGTCATGATATAAGGGATATTAATCATATTACTACTACTAGGTAGAGATAAATGATAAACTTAGCTATATACACGGACACAAACACCAACCTGACACTATTTTGACAGGATGTAGTTCTGTAGGTTTGTGCTTGTTGATCCTGAAAATTTTCTGTGCATTCCAGATCAATCTTGCCAGATTACAAGGCAGGACCACCTTGCTGTCTCCCATGGGGAAGATCTTTCGCAGCACTTCACGATCATCACGTAGCTGATCCCATTCCTTCTCCAGCTCAGATATGGCATGGGCATCACCAATAAGCTCCTTAATGATATCCTCGGTTAGACATTTTCGCATGTTTCTAAAACAATGATGTTTCTAAATATGACAATAATTTCTTATACTGTGAATGTTATTTTGCATGGTCTTGACATATCTAGGAGAACAAAATATTTGTTTGCATGTTCTAGGTGTATAACTGGATAGAAATTAAAAGCAAAGCTTAAATGTGCATTAGAAATACGAGAAAGTCTTAAAAAAGGAGAATCGGTAGATTGCTCAGTACAAACTGTATATCAAGAGACAATAAAAAAATTGCTATCTAATTCTACTTCTAATTCTAAAGTCACTGTAAAGGACAATTTTGTGAAATCTGAATAATTTTTCTCAGGTTCCAGATTCCTTCATAAAAAATTTAGTTCAATACTGTATATAAAAATGCAAAAACATTGGCAAAATAATTTGCAAAACAATTAAATGAATTGATTGCTCACAAAGGGATTCAATAACAACACAGACAGGGCACTGTAAGTTACTGAATTTGAAGCAAGATGGACCTTCAGATATTGAACTTCTATAATCGGATGTATCACAGCAAGTCATTCATTCTAAACATGTTCCAAGTTTCTAGCATTATCTAAGTCAATGATGTCATTGTACAAATAATTTAACAAACAAAAACACTGATATCATGATTCATAGACTACATAAGCCTACCTTGTGACCTCAATGTTAAAATTACCTATAGCCTACAGTTGAGGTCTGCATTTGTGAACAGAAACTATCGTCTAATTTCAGTTTAATCACTAGTAATGTAATTTCTCTTGTGAGACATCAATAATGACATGTAAGATATCCTTCTTGCAATCAACTTTCATGATATTATGGCAGCAAGAATCTTTATTATATTATTTCAGGAATAGTTAAGCATTGAAAAACTTAAGTACCTCCAAAATAAACCAATTTAAAATCTCTTTAAAACACTCATTTTACACGTACTACAGCAATGAAAAACATTCATAATCAACTACAATATGCACCTTCAGAAAAAAATTAGAGTGTTTGACCATATAATCAATGATAAAACGTTCAGAACATGGGTATCATCATCAAGTGCATATCAAATCTTGTGTTTTATATGAACAACATTGAAAGGACACAACTTTGGGAGAGAATTCAAAGAATGTAGAATGAAGATATTTCATAAGAAGATTCAGACAAGACACGAACATTACCTCTCATTTGAGGCATCAAACTTGAACTTCTTCTCAAAGGACTTGTTGGAGGGTTTGAGTGTTGGTAGTGACTGAAACTCGACACCAGTGCCATCAAGTCCATCCTCTCCGTAAGTCAACTGGACCAACTGCTCTACCTGGTTTCTGATTGTGCCATCATACTTCACCATCACACTCTCCATAGCCTTGATCAGACGTCGCTGAATGTACCCTGACAACATAAAGAAGTTGAAATTCTGAGAAAGAGGCGTAATTTGCATCAAATTTGTATTTAAAATATTTCAATATTTACTTCCCAAACAGGCTTCGATTTCTAGACAATTTTTCAATATAACACCGATTTCACTCGCACAATATTAATGAACATGTAGCTATTCATTCATACAAATAACAACATAATCTTTACTTCAAACTAGAAAACATCTGGACCCAAAGGTCCCAACTCTGATGCATATCTGTATCCTTGTTCCATGAATTTGCAGAATTTGTCAAATGCGATCTTGGAGTCTTGACCGATGACCACCACAATATAAGGCAGAGAACTTCATGTTATGATACTATGGGGTAAATATGAACAAAACCTGTTGAGAAGTTCTCATTATGACTGTTCAAAAAAGGATGTGACACAATGTAGAGACATAGGTAAGAATATTTGGCCCTACCAAGAACTGGTAGAAGGACATAAAATAAATCCCTTGCATAATATATACCAGTTTCAGCAGTTTTCACAGCAGTATCAATAAGTCCTTCTCGCCCTCCCATGGCGTGGAAGTAAAACTCAGATGGTGTCAGACCAGCCAGGTAAGAGTTCTCCACAAATCCTCTGGACTCCGGACCATAATCATCTTTGATGAAATGAGGCAGTGTTCGATGTCGAAAGCCAAATGGGATACGTTTACCTTCAACGTTCTGCTGCCCTACACAGGCAATAACCTAAAATGATGAAGATAAGGAAAATTTAACTCTTTGAAAATATTCAGTCAGATGGGTTTAAAGCTGTACTAATTTAATAATAAAATAGAATGTTTCCTTCATTCAAAAGTAATAAAATAACACTAGTCAAATCTTCAGATATGTGCAATTCAACAACAATCTGGAAAAACTTTTTACTGAAGTACTAAACATTACCTGTGAAATGTTAATTTTGGACCCCTTAGATCCAGCTACCACCATAGCTTTGAAGTTGTTGAAATCTGACAAGGACTTCTGAGCTTTTCCTCCAGTTTTGTCACGAGCATCATTGAGAATTCTGTTCACCTATGTAGCAATAATAACACTTTTGCAATATATCCTTGAAAACAGGAAAGAGAAATTCAAAAACCTTTAAGAGATCATGAAATGTCTTTAAAAGGTTTCTCCATCCAAAATTTTACAAATGCTTTAATTACTTTTCTTTTTATTTGTTCATGCACCAAATTATACCTCATCGTTTTCATGAATTTCATTTTAATATTGATATAACTGTTAATTTGCTTTTCTGAATGATTAATTTGTTTTCATGTGTGTTAAGTCTTTTTTCTTTCTTTTCTTATTCTAATCTAGCTAAAGCGATAAATACTATTCTTCCCCACCTGGTTTTCAAAAGTTTGACGCAACGTGTTTCCTGGTGTTGGCTCCAGTTCATCATTGTGGGCCTTCTCAATAACGTCTATCACATCCACCTTAAGCATAAAAACAACCTTTACAGTTCACAGTAAGCAAAATCTTTTCACTAAAACTTTATTCAAACATGAATATTCCAAAGAAGTAATTTATGAAAGATTTGACATATATATTGCAATGATATGATCTCTTCAGTCAATCTTCATATACAATATTTTTGACATCTGTTATAATTTATAATTGTCAACGAGTTTCAATTTCACATACTGGAAAAAATTATTCTTAATTTGCTGACCTTAGCTTTCTTGATTGTGTCCTGGATATCTATGTATGTTTGAGGATCAGCAATGGTGTCTCCAATCCCAATACTGTGTCCTTCGAGCAGGAGCCAGTTATTTACAACAGTCTGGATATGGCCATACATAAGGCCAGCTACCTCGTATCCCATCTCCATGAACACCACATGGGGCAGGGAACCGCTCGATGTACCAAGGGTCTTCTTGCACAGAATTCCACTAATCAGCATGCCATCCTCGATCAACACCTTTAACACACAAAATTTTCCTCAATTGTTGGTGAAGTTCAAAGAAACTAGATTTTTCTTTTTATAACTGTATTGAAATTTTTTAAAGTTCTTCCCTAACATTTTTTTAACATTTGCATCAAACTCAACAAACTGTGAAAACACATATTGGCCAAACAAACAGCGTTGTAAGACTACCTTGTTATGGATCATAAGGGCAACTAAGACAAATATATAAAAGTTTGAATATAGGTAGCTGAATATACTATCAACTACAATGCCTATTTTACCTTGGTGTCTCCAGGAGAAATCCACTTGTATGGGCCCGAGTCCTCCTCGTCTGGGTGTGTGCTGTGGGTTCGGATACAATTGACACGACCTGGGATGATAAGAGAAAACAGTTGTTTCCCTGTCCACAGTGGCTTAGGCTTCAGGATTGCAGGCTGAGGAACATGACCGTCCCATGTTGGCAGAAACATCAGTAGGTTCATCATCTCACCCTGCAAGTAGACAAAGACTTATAATTTTCCAATTATCACATACAATTTCTGCAATGAGTGGGTAATATGATCAAATAATTCAGGAATTTTTTTTCAAAAGCATTCATTTAGATTTTATCATGTGATAGAATGAATCTGGATTTGCTATAATTTATATCAAGAAGGTAAATCTGTACTTGTGACAAAATCCAGGAACAGTAAACTCATTCACTTATTCATTCTGGAAACCATGAAATTCTTAGTCTAACAAGAACTCCATCAATCCAGGAAACAGAAATGATTAATTTGTTAAACTGTACCCTGTTAATGAAAACATCTCTCTTAGTCATCTTTCGGACAGCGGTCAGTGTATCCTGCACAATACCCATGACAGGTCTGTTGGACTGAGGTGTGATGATCATCCTAGGGACCAAGGCAAGGTTAGATATTTCTGCCTTTGTTTCCAGGGACTGTGGTAAGTGGAGGTTCATCTCATCCCCATCAAAATCAGCATTGTAAGGAGTGGTTACACTGCCAGACAGAATGTCACATAACACAAATCAAATTATGAAGCTATCAAATGCATCTTCTCCAGAGTTTTAATTTTCAATGATGATAAAATTACTAACAACACACCTTACACTGGCATCATCAATTTATTCTATATCTTGCCAGTGATCACAAAAAAAACACATCAAAGTATCTATTTCCTTTAACTTCCAATGCTATTTACAAATTTAAGCAAACAAAATGTCATGTAAGAAATCTGATATTTTGTCGAAAGATTAGTACTGAAAGCAGTTTTAGTTTACCTCAGATTCAATCTGAAGGTTGACCAGGGCAACACCTTCACTCTATGACACATCATACTCATTTTGTGGAGAGTTGGCTGTCTGTTGAACACCACATAATCATTATCTTGCATGTGTCTTTCAACCTGGATTAAAGGTGACAAAATAAAATATAACTTAGTAACTAGTACCTTTGATTTTGCATCTAAATTATGTTTGAAAAATAGAACCAAGATGCTGGAGGTACATCGCTCTGCTAGCACATTTCAACACATAAAAGTGAACACAAACTAAGAAGGAAAAGTAAGGCCAATATGTACAAGGGCCTGTACAAATACTTTGGGTTACCTTGTAACCTATCTGCAGATGGAGGTCACTGGCTTTCGGGTGAAATCTTAAGTCTATCCTCTCCCCATTGTCTCGTAGAATATACTTGGCTCCAGGGTACTGATTTGCCCCTCTCCGCACAAGCTCATGCATTCTGTTAATGTCAACAGAAAGTGGGTCTCACTCAAGCAGTTGAGGAACATTTTCAAAATTCAGACTTTTATGATAATTCTTTTAAGATTCATTTTGTCTATATTCTATTTCAAACTTATTCTTTTCAATATTAAATTTTCCTTAAAAATTATGAGAGATGATTTTGAAATAATAGGAACAGAAAAAAATATGACCAAAAAGTGCTGTAATGAAGGAATGATCTCCATAAATTATTCCGAGTTAACAGACATGTCCTCAGAAAAAAATTAGAGTGTTTGACATAATATCACTAGTTATCAAAACAGAAATTCATCACTGGACAAGTCTGAAAGAAAGAAAAATTGGAGATTGTTTTCCATTTCATCTTCAAAAATGTAATCTCATTCACTACACAAAAAACTGGATGCTACCACCAAAGAGGGCGGAAAATGACTGGAGAAAAAAAAAAGAGAAACATTCACCTGTCTATATTGAAAGGTGTGACTACTTCTGGGAATGTCATGTTCTGGGCTATGCTTCTAGGTACCCCAACCTGATCAATCCTGAGGTTTGGATCAGGGGTAATGACAGTTCTGGCAGAAAAGTCCACACGCTTTCCCATTAAGTTGCCTCGCACTCTCCCTTCCTTACCCTTTAACCTTTGTTTAACAGACTTTAGAGGTCGACCTGATTTCTGTACAGCCTGAATAAATACAAATTTTATATATTTTAATATCACACCTAATGACAGACAACCTTGCATGCCTGTGCTCATTGCAACAACATGATGTTCATGACATACATATTGCGCTTATGAATAAAAGGTTATTGAAAGTCAATTATGCCTGAAGAGTTTCAATCAAACTGTATATAAAATAACTAAACATGGCATCATTAAAATTCAAATGTATGAGACACAAAAGTAGTCCATGCAAAACCTACATCCTGAGATAATGTAAAATTGCAGTTTCTTTGGTTTTTGAAAAATTGTAATTTCATTTAGACTTTATTTTATAAGTAAATGTAGCTAAATAGGTCTTCTGATACAGTTCATTGACATAAATTTGTGCGTTAAGGATACCAAAAAACCAGTGTAATGACATTAAATTCCCTGTGAAAAATAATGATTTTACAGTAGTTACTGACGAAGAAAACTTCATACAAAATCTAATCATAGTTTGATATGATGATTGTGGCATACATCATTTGTCAAAAGTAGAGTGCAGACATTTGTCTTGCTCTCCAAAGCAAGACTTACCTTTGGGAGACCAGGCATTTCATTATCAGTGAGTGTGGCCACATGGAACTGCAACATCTTGGTGTCCTCCGATATAATGTGAGCTGCTGCTCCGTTCTGTTCGTTCCTCTTCAGCTGATTGTTGGCCTTGATTATGTCTGATAACTTGTGAGTTAAATCATCCTAAAACAAAGAACTTCGGGATGAGACTTTCACAGATGGCACATAAGATCCATTCAGATGTAGGTTTTTTTTTTATTTTTTCTCATACTTCATTCAAATGAATGAACCCTGAATAACATTTAGGCTCTATTTTTATTTCTATCTTTCTCATCAATAACTTAAATATGTTGAATTAAGTCAAATTTGTGACTAAATTGATTGAATTAGTAGATTTTACATATCCATAACAATTGCTTGCAATCCAGGAGTATTTTGGTATAAATCAAAGTCAACAATAATTGAAAAATTACCTAAAATCATGTACAGAAATAACTGATTTAATTTTGCATTTATACCATGTGGAAATTCCTGTATATCAAATTAATATAGAAGAATACTATGGTTATTAAAAACTGGTTAGTAACAGGCCTACATTTCAAGATTTTAAAACATATCTATTGGTTTTCAAAATCTTACTTGATTAGGTTTTCATTTTTGGCTAGCTCTTCACAATGACTTTATACCATTTTAAGTCTAACTTTCTGCTAACTTTATTTGACTTAATTTATAATCAAACTAACATAACTCAAGACATGTCCTCAGAAAAAAATTAGAGTGTTTGACATAATATCATCTGTAAATCAAACTAGAAATTCATCACAGAGCATGTCTTCTACTAGACTACCTAGGTCTTCTGTATTAATTTACCTTATCAATGTTTAATTTAACCACCCTTTTCACTCTCTTATACTAGAAATACAAACATATAAAGATTTGAAGGTTAATAAACTGTACAAATAAATTGAATGAAAAACAAGGAAGTTTCCAAGGGCCTGATGTTCAAAATCCACACCAAAGTCACTCCTGTCACCTGGATAAAGGACAATACAATCACATCAATTTTTTCTAAAAAATTCCTACCTGATTTCTTGCTGCACCAAACATGACAACAGCTGGTCTAACTGATAGAGGTGGTACTGGCATCACTGTGACAATCATCCAGTCTGGACGAGCAAACTTTGGCTCCATTCCCATCACCAGACACTCCTCATCTGATATTCTTTTGAATATCTCGTGAACTCTCTCTGCTGTCAGCATTATTTTTTTCTCTTGACTCTCTTCATTGACGTGTTTCCATTCTGCTACCAGTTCCAAACCTGTTCTTTTGATGCGAGGTTGGAAGCGACCACAACCACCATGGCCCTGTACATAATGAAATCAACAGACAAATCAGTAGGATTGTTTCATTTTACACAAAAAAGACCTCAGTAGTCTTTATCATAGTTAAAAGACCAGTTATTACCTCCAGATATAGAAAATTTTCAAGTTCCTATATTTCTATTTCTATAGTTGTCAAGTCTTTCAGAAGAATAATGTGATGCATTCAAAGGCTTCAGTATAAATTCAGTTGTTTTTTTCCCTTTACCTTTGAAAAAAAAAAAAAACATGCACAACATGTTACACAAAACTTTATTAATTACCCTTAGCATTCTATTTAATTTTCTTTTGTCAAATAACATAAATCAGACAGAAAATTCAGACATGTCAACAGGTGGAAGCATAGCAGTTTATTCTTACCGTTTTTTCTTCATCACCCTCTCGATTTTGTTGTTCTCCCAATTTTGTGTCCATTTCATCTCCTCCCTCACAGATCTTTTTCCCTTTACATAATTCATACACATGGGCCATTCTTTTTCTAGGCTGCCCCTTTGACTTGGCCAGAATGTCTTTTATTTTTGGATTTGTCTGTTAAAGCAGAAAGATACATAAATAACCAAAGTCATCTCTTCAGACAAAAATAAATTTTAATAATATTTATAAGAAATTATTCTGAGGAAGAAAAGCACATTATATGTTCTCACTAATAATGAAATATTACTGTGGATTTTCAGATATAGCAATTTTTCACTGAAGTTCAAAAGGAATCAAAAGCATTCCAATATTCTTGCTCAGATGAAAATAATGTACATTTTCTATCCACATATATGATGCTAGATACTAATCTTTTAACATGGCCAGTGAAACTTCAAATTGATATGTAATGTAATTGTCTAGTGTTACAATTAAGAAGATATACCAACATGGTTTGTATGGTTAACTTTTGGGAGGAATAATTCGTAAAAAGTGAGTATTGTGCAGTTGAGTGGATACATTGTTCTTGATCATAGTAAAATCATTAATTTGAACTGAAGTATGTTTTAATTGCACAAGTTATCTTACCGGGTCCACCAACAATTTTGAGCAGAAGAAACACACACATCTCAGCACTTTAATAGTCTTTGTGAAAAATCCAACATGGAAAACTGGTTTTGACAATTCTATGTGACCAAAGTGACCTGGACATTCAGACATATTGCCAGCACAGGTCTGACATCTGGATGTTCTGTCTATAGTTCCCTGTCGAGGGTCCATCAACCCATTAAGTTTGGGACGTCCACCTTCCATTGTCTCTGAATATCGGATACCCCCTTCGGTAACGGACATACGCCGCTGAAAAAAACAACTTTAAATACTAAGCACATTTAACTTTTCACTACACTGATCATGACACTTCCATGTGTATACATTTTGTTAAGAGGACAAGATATTAGACATTGATCTGTAACAGTTTAAATTTCATCTTAGTTCAGAATACATAGTTAACATTTCTGATTCCATTTTTTTTTATATCCTCCATAATAACAAACCAAAATACAAGATCCTGGTTTTTTCACACACACACCTACACACACGTATAGATATATATTAATATATTTTGAAAAATATGCTAGATTCTATTTATCCCACACACATTACCTCAGTCACATTTATCTATATAGTACTGTTAGACTATGATAAAAATAATCAAATAATCTCAAATTTTCAGTGTTGTTCAAATCGAAATGGTAAATATAACATTCGCAATGCCTTCTTTAATCATGCTATTGGTAAGGACCAAGGAGTAAAGATTATAAATAAATTTCACCAAATCAAATGGCGTATTTGCATTTCCTTATGTCTACACATAAACACGTTTGTGGGATGGATGTTCAGAACTTTGAAAACAAAGAAAACACCAGTTTTCCCTCAGCCAAAAAGCATGACACTCACTTAAATCTCAAAGAAAATATATGATATGGGCTAACGTTGCTAGTTTTTACTCATACATGGAATTAATTATTTGGACCAGGAGGTTCATTTAAATGTCACGTAGGCTTAGAAGCTTATCAAAATAACACAATTTATTTTGGTTCATTTAAATGGGTAATCATATAAAGGACATACACATTCATCTGGACTCAGAATGCCGAACTGGACCCTCTTCACGTCTCTCATTGTTGCGTTTGAATCGCCTGTGTACGCCATCTTTGTTGTGCAACACGGGTCTGGCGGAGACCTATTTCTTTCGTCAAATTTTTGTCACAACAGGAATAGCACCTGAAACAAACGCTATCACGTCGGTCGCTGGTTATTTTACATTATGTTGATATTGGTTTCGTGTAATTATATTCCGAAACGGACGCTTATCACTTTCCCGCTTGTAACACGCTTGCTCCTGATCAGAGCTCTTCCTCCTACTGCTGATTCGCTGCGCTTTTATACTTTTTCCGTGATTCTAAGGGGTTTACACAAATGTGTGCAAGGGCTGAAATCACTGAAACGCTTCAAATAACGAAATCACATTTCTGTCACGTAAGCATGAAAACGATTAAGAATAGGAAATGACGTCACAAATTTAAAGAAGAGGTATATTGGGGGTAATTCAAGAGCTGGACAAATGTCGAAGTTCGAAGCTAATAAATGGAGTTAAACACTTACAATCTGTAGATTTCGGATAACCTTTGCGTCATTTGATTGAGTCTCAACTTGTTTAATAAAGCTATTTATATAGATACAAAATGTGAACACAGTTCAACAGTTGCAAAGCATTCGTAACACCTCGCCTCGATTACAGTGCCTACCGTCATAAATGACCTGTCGTCATTACTTCATTTATCATATATACACGTGTATATGAAATGAATTTAATTCTCGTTCAAACCAAGAAGTTCAATATATAATACATATCCGAGTTCAAACTTATAATGATAATTAATGGAATTTGTTTCTCTTCACAAGTAAGACCAGAATGTCATTTGTGTCATTCAAAAACAGAATTGAACTTTTACTTCAGAATTATGCCAAAAAGATTCGGGAAGATAACCATATTTTAACTCTTGGCTACGGCAGGACTATTTCAGATGTTCATTCGGATCACCATGCAGGAAGTATATGATATGTATTTCTGTTTATTGTCATATGCCCCTGTTATGTTAACCATGTACTTATCAGATTACGTTTAAATATATGATAAAGATGACGATAAAATAATCAGCAACAGTAGTAGTTAGTATCAGATTTAAGCCTATAATAAACTATGTAAATTATAGTTTGTCGTTGGTTTTGTACGGAGAAATACATAAATCACAAATGGTTCGGAAAAGGTAGGCACGTAATCCGTTCAAACAAAAATAACGCAAATTATTCAAAGTCAATAATATATCATGTATACGTTTTAAATCAATTGGATAGTGGCAAGTGGCAAAGTTCAGAATATACATATGTAATTGACCAGTTCTTCCAAAATTATTAGATATATACAAACAGATACGTATATAACGTGATATGTACGTCTCTGATACAAATAACAAAAGTTATCAAAGTATGGGTAAAATGATCCTCCCGATCTCGATTTAAACATTTATTGCGATCACTATCACACTCCTTCCCATCGTTTCATACTATTAACTCTCTACCCATTTTCCTATCTTATCTTGTCTGCTGGAGGGCCGAAAGGAAGTGGACGTAAAACTCTTTTATAAAGTAAATTTCGATCACTGGATTTTTCACATTCGCCCCCTTATTTTGAAATTTTAAGCCTTTGGTATTACTGACAAGCCAGACAACGACGAAACAGCTTTATAATGTACCATATTAATTCTACTTATGTATTGGAAATGTTATGCACTTTTATGTCTCATTTTTTGCAATCTTGCGTTGTATTTGATGATGGATGTATATGTGATGATCGGTGTGTACATGTATGTATGCCAGTGTATGATTGATTTGTATATTTATATGCCATCACGTGTTGTTTTCTTAATGTACATTTAATTATAAGAAGAAGACCTCGTAAGTTGTAATACCTTGTATCTAATCCTTTTGTTATTACACTTAAAATAAAATATAAAATAAAATATGTTTAAACTATGCTAGTGTTATTTTCGGACGATCAGTTGTAAGTATATCTGATTTAGGCCTGGTTTGTTCGGTATGGATGTGATGATAGGTGTATGACTGTGTTAGCCTGGTATTTGACGATCGGTGTGCATATATGCGACTACTCAACTGTGGTTAAAGTCAGAGTTGTTTTCTTAAAATCAGCATAAAATTCATCACGAAAGGCGATTTCATATAGGAATTCCATTTTTGCAAATATATACTTACGTACGGTAACCCTGGTTCTGTAAAATGACGCTCTGTCCCATTTCATCTAACAAAAATCCATTTCCTACACCTACACAAATTGTGAGCTTTAAGCTTGAACATTAAACGGTACATAGAACTTTCAAGCTTAAATTCATCGTCTGTAGCCCACGGTACCGACAATCTAAATTTCACTGAACATTACCTCTAGAGTATATCAGCCAAGTTGTTATTAAATCATGAGAAAATGGACTTGTAGATCTCAATCCCAAAATTTTATGACAAAATTTCAATTGAACTTGTGTAACACTTTTTATCTAAATTGCATGCTAGTATTTCGGATCCATATCATATGAATAATAGTTTAGTTTAGTTTATTACCAGTGCAGGATCGTTACGATCCTCTATACCGGTCTCAGTGATACAATGATAATGTTTATAATTATTGACATTTGAGACGTTAGATCCAGGTACTACAGAATTTCTGCTTTATGATTATATACCAGTTCTTGATTTTCCCAGTGTTCATCTAATCTATTTTTGAAAGAGTTAACTGTTGGTGACGATACAATATACTCCGGAAGATTGTTCCATATTTTGACCACACGCAAAGAAAAAGAATGTTTCCTGATGTCAAGTTTACAGTGCTGCATGTAAAGTTTTTGGAGTGACCACTTGTTCGCTGAATTTGAACTTTGTCGATCCACAATTTAAGGAAACCAGCTGCATGACTATCATAAAAATTGTTCGTAATTTTGAAGACTTCAATCATATCCTCACAATGCAGGCTAAACTATAAAATGATCCGAGTCAGATGCAAGTCCATCGGAAGATTTAAATCTAACGATGGGACTGGAAAATAATCCTGCTTTGGGCTTATTTACAAGGCTTCCGATTGATATTTTAGCGTCGGAATAACTCTCATAGTCTATAAGCAATGCGCCACTCAAAAGTAACTAAAAGAGTCCACATTTACAATAACTTGTTTGTGATTTTGAATATATGTCGACTCTTTGATTAATGCACTACAATCGTTGTACTCATCGTATTTAGCTTTCAATCATTACAAAAGATCGTAAGAATCGTTCAGACGAAATATATAACTGGAGTCTGGATACTCTGTTTCAACGGAAGTATACAATTTTCTATAAAGTCTTCATTATTAAAATGGATTAAAACAAAAATAAAATGGAGATAATTTTTCACTTTTGTCTTACCCATAAACAAGGAAGTAATTGAGAATTAGTATTTCTGTAAATTCCAGTCATGATTTGATATATTATATTTTCCATAACAGCGGAAACACTTGCCTCTAACTTTTACTGTAATATAGTTTTTAGGCTAAAAGTACTCAGTACGCATAGCCTATTGCTACGGCCTTTCAGACAAAATTTACCGATCCTGGCCTTCTCATTGGCAGAAATATCGAAAAGAGTTAGAGCCTTCTAGCGGCAATTTTCTGCGTAAATAATGCCGCGATCTTTCAAATCGCTTTTTTAAAAGCATCCAAAATTAGTTTATTTTTTTAATAACAATACGATTACTTTATATTTCAAAAAAGAAGCACAGTGTTGTTGAACTATTGATAAATTTTGAACAATATATTTTACGAAATTCTACGAAATTCTCGACATGACGTAAGCGTACAGAACACTACGCGCGAGTTGGCGCAATGATAAGAACCTAGTCTAGGGGCTTGGTTTGAATTATCAACTAACAGCACTTATAAACAAACAAAACTTACAAACAGAACATCAGTTTTGTTTTAATCCTTGTCGTTGTGGCAAGATCGTCTTAATATATAACATCACTTTACTTCAGTAGACGTCACCGAATTGGACTGTTCGTCCCACGCGCACACCCGCCGATATGACACTTTTTTTTCAGGTTTTTCACACCCACCGCCATGACACTTTTTCAAGTTTTTGAAGATAAAAAGTTTGCGTTTCGTAGGCAAGGTACATTTGGTGCTCATGATTTATGAATAATATATTTTTAGTACTGTACTGATCATAATGTTGACTTTGTTATAACTTATATTTTTTGTCTTTTAGTTTTATTTGATGAAGGTTGATTATGCTTATTTCTCTAGGTTTGTTAATGTGTATCAAAGTTCCTTGAAATGAAAATATTCCTTCAAACAAAGCGCGTATAAAAAAAACCCCAAAATATTCATGTTTATAATTATCAATTAACTAGAACGAAATATTTCCATAACATATTTATTCATTTAGCGTGTCATGGTGACATTATCTAATGCGTTGGAGATCAGAAATAGTAGTAGCTATAGTGAAAATATTGTAAATTTTGTATATATATGGAAGTCTGGTTTAATCTCAAAGAACTATGTCTTTATAGACATAATTACTGGAAGAAAAGTCTAACCATAATACTTCTAGGAAGATAGACATGTAAATACATTTAATGTAGTTACTTACACTTTAATCTATACGGCTGTGTACATCTTATCTACTTTCCTCAACTACAAATATAATTACAATAAGTAAGGACTATTACTTTGCAATACATTCAAAATAAAGAAGTAGGTATAAAGTCCTTTCGATTTGTCTAAATCCTCATATTGATAGGATAGTAATTGCAATATCTTGGTTATTTCAAAGGTTTTATTTAGTCAACTTCATCATAGAGCTATTAATCATTTGGCTTGTTGGCGATAAATATATGGTTGTGTGTATTTTGTTATTTTTTTTTTACCTATTTTGATTTGTTCACATTATTGTCGTCAAATTTGAAATAAGAATTAAAGAAGATATAAAATAGCATAAAATTAAGAAAAATAGCCCCTGATTCTCTTATTTTAGTAATTTTTGCATTCCAAAGTGTAGGAGTATGGGGAAAGTTATATAGCTTTGCGGTTATTTGTGAACATTTTTCAATACGTTTAGCCTTTCAGTACTTTCAGTACTTTGATTTTTTATTATCCTCAGCTTTTCCACTACAGACTTCGCTTCGAAAATACAACGAGCGCGATCTAGTGGAGAAAAGTTATACTAAGACAAGTAATCGAGTCTACAATAAATTAGAGTTACCTCTCTTCCATTTCCTGCATGCGCAGTCGTTTGGTCACATAGGGGAAATGTTGCGAAAATGAATGAAAGACACTAAAAATGCTGGATTTATATGCCACAAACCCGCAAGGTAACTCTATAAACTGTAGAAGAGAAACAATATTCTGTTACAAGATAAATTTGCAATGTTATGTTGGACACGGATATGGTAGCTATACCCAGTACAAAGAGTAGTAAGTCCTTGAGTCTTCCAGTTTCTGTTCTGCAGTTAGCATACACACTTTTAACTTGTCAACTTCTTATATATGATATCAAGACACAAAGTCAACTGCCATGATCCATGCATTTGTCATAGATATTTCTGAATTATTGATCTGTTTTGAAGTCAATAAAACCAGACAAAAAATAAACTGACATAAATGCATGCTCCAGAATCCGAACAGGGATCACCTGCGCTCAGAACTAGTTACGCTTAAATTAAAGACAGATTTAGTGAACTACATGAATCTTTGACAATTGACATTGCATCCATTTTTACCAATATTTATGCATGAGAGAAGGTTTTTGAAGAGAGTATTTTCATACCTTTGATAAACACGATATATGTATTTTTTTAACACTACGAAAACATCGATCGATCGTGGCCACCACATGTAGTGATTTTTTCTATGTAGATCATCATCATCAACAGGTTGGGCACATCCCCTATGGGGAATAGTCATGCATTTCAGGGATAGTTACCGCTTTCAGTTATCAATTAGTTCTTCAAATGCTGGGTCGTTTGAGATAGAAACGCATCATTTGCAACAAAAAAAAAAAAAAAAATGAAAAAAATATTTTGTATAATGCATATAGGACAGGGGCAATACTGGTACTGGTAGAGGGCAATAAATCTAGTGGTGTGAAGAAGTCTCACTAGGGTCATCCACGGTTCCTGTTTTTATCTTAATTTAATGACAGTGCTGTTCACATGTTTCGACTCAAGGGCAAGCCGTCATCAGAACACTAGACAACACTGTCATCATATTCCAATAGAAAAAAGAACCTAATATGTTGGACAGACTCCTATTAGCTTATGTCTGGGGTCCCTACAGATCTGCCTCATCAATTACATGCCAGTAGGTCTGACCTACTAGGACAGTAAGATGTAGATTGGAAAATATTGTTCCACCAAACAAATATGATGTCATATCAGTTACTCATACTAAAACTCCCATGAAACTTCAGTATACACTACATGATAGCAGTTAGTAGTGATGTCAGACTACAAATCAGCTGACCAGCAGCATCCTATGTTAGCATGAATGATCTTGATTTACTGGTACATTCAGTTTCTTTACAAATCTGAAGCAGTTATGGAAAATGTCTTAAGTTCAAACTAGAGACCCTTTGTCAAGCCAAACACCTTGTCATTTTATTAGACACAAATTCACACTAGACAAGACTAATAGGTGGACTTAATTCTAAAGTTTACTTTTATATTGGTCTGGGGTCAATGAATGCCATATGCCAGATAAAAAAAATGAGGAATCTGTGTGCAGCATGTACATGAAAATGATGATTTCTGTCCGCCATTATCATTTAATGCCATTGTTCTTTAACTTTCTATAAAGTTGGAGTTCTGATAAAAAAACAAAAAAATTCAATAGAAAACCAAAATATATCCGACTGCTATAAGGTAAATATACTCTACTTCTACACATTTACAAAAGAATCTTTTTTTTTTTTTGGATGGGGTGGGGGATATTCCACTTCACTATTGAAAATCAATATCTTTATATATCATCTGCAGCCTTTACTTAAACACTTGTTTAATTTAAAAAATTACAGCAGAATTTAAAAAGTTTAATAAGTGAGTTTCCAACCCGTTATGATCATGATGGTTAATTTCAAAATTAATTGTGATGTTGATTTTCATTTGTAGCTTTAGATCTGGGGAAAACCTCTATGCTGTTGACATGGTTCCCTTGAACATGAGATTGCATGAAGCTATCATAAGATGACAGGTAACCGTGATACAGTTGTGTTTCCCTGCTATAAAGAAACATGGCAGGTAGTGCAAGCTCTACTGGGAGACCTCAAAAATTTGTCCCAGTCAGTAAATGGTGACCTGAAGGAGTTATGTAAGGAACATCAGACAATTGTCAATATATGCAATGGGTTAGGAGATACAGAGGAAACCAACTGGGGAGAGAATAGTCTATTTGGATTAGCGAAATTCCTGAAGAAACAAGCCAATAAAGAAGAGAGACGTTTATTCCTCCAGTCCACTTTCCCTGCTATCATTGACCTGGCTTTAGACCATCCAGAAGTCATACCATCTCAAGGTATTGGGTACAGTAAACAACAACAGGGTAAGTGCAGACTTTTCACAGACTGTCTCAGCTCTTATGTCCACTCAAAAGAAGTTTTGTAAATAGATTTTAAAAAAAGATCATGTATACTGTGGATCTTTTTTTCTCTTTTTTTTTCTCTTCTTCTTTTTTTTTTATGGTGTTTATCTAACCAGATAAATTATGTCACAAATGAAACGTGAAATAGAAACATTTAGACATTCTGAAAATGTTTCATTCTTTTTGGTGTGATTGATATTAAAATACACAAGGAAGGTTTTATGATAATGACTCCTAAGATGTTATATAATTGGTTGCCTTTTGAAGCCAGTACCACAGTAATCAGTCGGAGATGTGTAGCATCTATTCTTGCCTGTGGATTCCTATGTTTGTTTGAGGACAGGGGCAAGCCATGGAAGGGTCACCAGTTAACAAATGTTATCAATTTCTCCAACTTTTTCAAAAATCTTCAAATGTAAGTACATATTAAGTAATTGCACACATGTACTAAAAGCATATACAAATTGTACACATTTATCTGCATATATATTGGTAAATTCAATATATGAGACTAAAATTTAAAGCAATTCTGAATTTATGTAGAAAGATGTCAGATAAGAAATGATTGGAAGTCATAGATATTGTCACTTGATTTGATCTTTTTCAAAGTCAAATGATTAAAATCAAGAAAGATATTCTTTTTCTGATTCTAAGCGTGTTATAGATGTAATGTATGATTAAACTTATCAATTTTTCATCATGGATATATCTTGTTTCAGGCCATCCCAATTTGCCAAACTTAGATGCATTCTGAACTATTTTGAGCAAGTTGGTGAAAGAGGAAAGACCTTAGAAGGAAATGTAACTTATGTTCGACAGGTAAGTTTTATACTGTTTGCACCATGGTCAACACTGTGTGAATAAAGGTAAAAATGCCCTTTTATGAAAATGGACAGACAAATTAACCTACTGAGTTCGCCAATGATATTTTATCATACTTTCTTGCAAAATCTATTCTTTCTTAGTGTTTCAATGTCATATTTCAGTAAGTAGCACAAATTCTTCTGACAAATTAAGCAGTTTTAGCTGTAGTCCAAATGTGAAATATCCATTGAAGAAAAAGAGGAAAACAAAAACAAAAATGTGAGAGAAAACAGTTCAAAAAAAAAAAAGAAGGAAAATAAGTAAAAAATCGTACATTCTTTTGAAGCTACTTTTTCCAGTTACAGCTGTGAATATGAAAATTGTATATAACTTCCTGTAGACAACATATTCATTTTATTTCTTATGCAACACAGACATTACAGCATTGTTAAAGCCTGAAATAGTGCCGTCAAAATTTTAAAATTGTAAATTATTACACAGGCTTTGACTAGTAGAATACCCATAATCACAGATTCTGCCTAAAAAATTGATAGTACTTGTAATTCTTTTTTTCTTTACACATTAGGAATTTCTATTTATCATGGTATAAAATTTTGCTGAGATTAAGTGAGGTTTTATGGTTGATAGGTAATAACTAGGGAAGAAATGCCGACTATGGACTCTTGGTTAAACTGTGAACAGGAACTATGTCCTTTGAGGGTATATGAAGATGGTCTTATAGAAGATGCAGGATGTGAAGCAGTGGAGGTAACAATTTCCCTATACATTTTTTTGCCAATCTACTAGTGGTATGGATATTGTGTTATAAACTTACAAGATATTGTAAGCTTCATTTTGCTATTTTTGTTAAGTCATATGCACTTGCTGCATCTAAATTTTGTTGACTGGTTTAGAAAAAATGTACATTCCAGAAACTGTCAGTGTCATATTTATCAGATTAGATGCTTTACTACTCACTATAACAACCTTTTCAACAACAATTTCAGTATCAAATTTATTAGAGATGAAAATTGTTTACCAGTATTGACTTTCATTGAAATAGACAATTTTTCAGGTGTTCAAACCTGAGCTCTATATATTTATAATGTGTTTTAAGCTTTGATTTAAGCTTATATGGATTAGAAGCAGTAGCAGTTTGTAGCAATGGTGAGTGGGAGAAGAGCAACTTGGTTAGCAGCCTTAGTTAATAGATAAAGTGTTGCTGATGTTTGATACATGTATGGTAGTTTTCTTATCTAATTCATCATTCAAAAATAATTTTTGGCCTCAAAGCCAAAGACATCAGTGATCACCAAAACTGAAATCCATACTGTAATCAAAAATTGGACATAAAGTTTACAAGCAGATCACATTGTGCGGTGGTGATGTAATATTGCATTCAGCCCAATGTTCAAAATGTGTGAAAATAGGAAATAGAAGTTCATTTTAATTTCATTTCACTGATAAATCCATTATTTCTTTGTTGTTTAATATTTGTGGACATTGTAAGATATATAAATATCTTATGGTATGGTTTTGTAATCTATTTTGTTTATAATTACATCAATGAATGACAGTGATCCATATAAACAAGAGGTGTTTATAGTACAAAACAGAAATTCCATTAATAAAAAAAGGAGTTCCGTCAGACCTGCGGCAAGGTGGCATGTTGTTATTGACTCCTCCAGTCATCATCAAGTGGGCAAAGCTAGATACATCATCGAAAAAGAAAAAAACAACAAATCAGGAAAAAATCGTTTTGAGTACAAACAATGAAAAAATAAAGATTCCCGTTTAATCTTACGAAAAAAACAACGATTGATTCTGACAAGTGCTACTAAATGACAACTGAAAATCTCCCATCAGTGTGTTCCAGGATGTAATAATCTGACAAAAGTTATTATTATACTTTGAATGATATGTTGTCTAAGCAATTACAAAAGGAGATATTTAATAAATTGTTAATGATTCTTATAAGATGGTCATCAGTATTCCCAAAAGTCTTCAGTATTTGCTCCAAGAGTCTTCAGTATTTGCTCCAAGAGTCTTCAGTATTTGCTCCAAGAGTCCTCAGTATTTGCCCCAAGAGTCTTCAGTATTTGCTCCAAGAGTCTTCAGTATTTGCTCCAAGAGTCTTCAGTATTGGCCCCAAGGGTCTGATTTCTTCTGTATCAAATATTGTGTCACTCATTGTTCTAGAATTTAGAAGAATTTATTTGCACCACTTGTCTTTACAATGTAATTTTGTTGTTGTAGGTGGACTTTGCTAATAAGTATATTGGTGGAGGTGTGTTAGGGAGAGGTCGTGTTCAAGTAAGTAACAAATAGATCACACAGATTTGTTTCATTCATCCAAGAAAGTATGCATGATATAAAAAATTATCTCTCATAGCAAATTATCATTTCCAACAAATCTGCATACTTACATACTCAAATGTACCAGTGATGGAGTCACATTTACAGGTAAAATGCAATGTTGCATATCATAGCTAGAATGAAAGTATATCATCATTCAAGAGTTCACTATGTAGTCTGAGTTAGACATAAATGTGTTATAGTAAAAACTGGGCTTTCAGGAAAACTTCTGATGAATTTTCTGACATTGGTTCACTAATGATTGTAAATGGGGACATGTTTACATAAAGTGAAATTCAAGAGCTTTTATATTTATATAAGCATATGACTTTTTTTTTACTACATTATTGTATATCAATATAAATAGATTATCTTTTCTCTTCAAATTTCTAAGAAAGAGGCCAAGAGTCAAAATATCGTGCGAGTAGCATGCTGGGATAGATATTTTAAATGAATTCCTATGTTCACGAATTCATATACTCAAGAGTGTCCTTATTGGTTTACAATTAAAACCCACATATGTTATATGTATTAGATATCACCCTATTTGAAATAAAATTCACACGAGAATATTCAATTCAAACTGGTGGCTGACATCAATTAATCACATTCATGTAGAAGGACATAGTTTGGATTTGAAGATTGATATTAAGCTTCTTTTTGTAATGTGTTTTAATTTTGAAAAAGCATATGATAGCAATATGATAGCAGTAATTGCAGTTTCTGTTTGTTGTTTTTGAAATGAATTAATGTGAATACAATGTACATAAATTCATCTTTGTGCAGATTATATTGCATTGAAATTTTATTAAGCTAAATTAGGAATATTTACTGTTAATAACAAATTCAGAGTGAAAGTGTCAGTTTATCGTTAAGATATGATAACGGTATGGACAAAGTCAGGTAAAATGTATATTTCAGGAGGAGATAAGGTTTACTGTGTGTCCAGAGTTGATCGGATCCATGCTTTTCATGGAATACATGGAAGAGAATGAGGCCATTATCATCAAGGGCTTTGAGCAGTTCTCTGCCACTCAAGGCTATGCTGGCAGTCTTCTATATGTGGGTCCACACTCAGATCCTGTGACGGTAAGTTGCAATCAACATAACAGCAGACACTGTTAGATAATTCCAGTTATACTAACACACAGATTGAGACAAGAATGTAGCTATGGTATGTATTATAACATTTGTTTTACACAGAGAGATGAGATTGAGGTGTGTTGTGTGTTATAACATTTGTTTACATAGAGAGATGAGATTGAGGTGTGGTGTATGTTGTGACATTTGTTTACATAGAGAGATGAGATTGAGGTATGGTGTATGTTGTGACATTTGTTTACACAGAGAGATGAGATTGAGGTGTGGTGTATGTTGTGACATTTGTTTACATAGAGTGATGAGATTGAAGTATGTTGGGTGTTATAACATTTGTTTTACACAGAGAGATGAGATTGAAGTATGTTGTGTGTTATAACATTTGTTTACACAGAGAGATGAGATTGAGGTATGGTGTATGTTGTGACATTTGTTTACACAGAGAGATGAGATTGAGGTGTGGTGTATGTTGTGACATTTGTTTACACAGAGAGATGAGATTGAGGTGTGGTGTATGTTGTGACATTTGTTTACACAGAGAGATGAGATTGAGGTATGGTGTATGTTGTGACATTTGTTTACACAGAGAGATGAGATTGAGGTGTGGTGTATGTTGTGACATTTGTTTACACAGAGAGATGAGATTGAGGTATGGTGTATGTTGTGACATTTGTTTACACAGAGAGATGAGATTGAGGTATGGTGTATGTTGTGACATTTGTTTACACAGAGAGATGAGATTGAGGTGTGGTGTAAGTTGTGACATTTGTTTACACAGAGAGATGAGATTGAGGTGTGGTGTATGTTGTGACATTTGTTTACATAGAGAGATGAGATTGAGGTGTGGTGTATGTTGTGACATTTGTTTACACAGAGAGATGAGATTGAGGTATGGTGTGTAATGTAATATTTGTTTACACAGAGAGATGAGATTGAGGTGTGTTGTGTATTGTAACATTTGTTTACACAGAGAGATGAGATTGAGGTGTGTTGTGTATTGTAACATTTGTTTACACAGAGAGATGAGATTGAGGTATGGTGTGTAATGTAATATTTGTTTACACAGAGTGATGAGATTGAGGTATGGTATGTATTGTAACATTTGTTTACACAGAGTGATGAGATTGAGGTTTGTTGTGTATTGTAACATTTGTTTACACAGAGTGATGAGATTGAGGTTTGTTGTGTATTGTAACATTTGTTTACACAGAGAGATGAGATTGAGGTTTGTTGTGTATTGTAACATTTGTTTACACAGAGAGATGAGATTGAGGTATGGTGTATGTTGTGACATTTGTTTACATAGAGAGATGAGATTGAGGTATGGTGTATGTTGTGACATTTGTTTACATAGAGAGATGAGATTGAGGTTTGTTGTGTATTGTAACATTTGTTTACACAGAGAGATGAGATTGAGGTTTGTTGTGTATTGTAACATTTGTTTACACAGAGAGATGAGATTGAGGTTTGTTGTGTATTGTAACATTTGTTTACACAGAGAGATGAGATTGAGGTATGGTGTATGTTGTGACATTTGTTTACATAGAGAGATGAGATTGAGGTATGGTGTATGTTGTGACATTTGTTTACATAGAGAGATGAGATTGAGGTTTGTTGTGTATTGTAACATTTGTATACACAGAGAGATGAGATTGAGGTGTGGTGTGTGTTGTGACATTTGTTTACATAGAAAGATGAGATTGAGGTGTGTTGTGTATTGTAAGATTTGTTTACACAGAGAGATGAGATTGAGGTATGTTGTGTATTATAACATTTGTTTACACACAGAGAGGTGAGATTGAGGTATGGTGTATGTTGTGACATTTGTTTACATAGAGAGATGAGATTGAGGTGTGTTGTGTATTGTAACATTTGTTTACACAGAGAGATGAGATTGAGGTTTGTTGTGTATTGTAACATGTGTTTACACAGAGAGATGAGATTGAGGTGTGTTGTGTATTGTAACATTTGTTTACACAGAGAGATGAGATTGAGGTATTGTATGTATTGTAACATTTGTTTTACACAGAGAAAAAGGAATGGAGGTATGATATATATTTTAATGTTTGTTTTACCCATAGAGATAAGCATTGAGTATAGGGTCTGAAGTAATTGAGTGGTTAAGGCATCCAACCATTTTCATCACTAGGCCTCAACCTCTGTGTCGCAGGTTCTAGACCTACGTGGGGCAGTCGCCAAGTACTGGGCACAGGTTGATGGTTTTTCTCTGGGAATTTTGTGCTCTCCACCACCACCACCCAAACTTGTCCTTATAAAACCATAATAAATACCAAACTGAGGTATGGACATATGATGTGCATTCAAACATTTGTTTTGCTCAGAGAGACAAGAGTGTAAGTGTGGTGTATATTGGTAATGTTTCCTTTACGTAGAGAGACGAGAATGGTGACCTGATGAGTACCCTGTGTGCCATTGATGCCGTTTCCTACAGGAACAACTTACAGGAACAATACAGTGACTACATGTGTGTGAGAGACCTTAACAAGGCCTACGTAGGCTTCAGTGCAAGGTGTCTGAGGGGTGTGACTCCACCGCGCCAAAATGGTGGACAGACTGATCTTGATTCTCCATCAGAGGACAAAGTAAGCACACCGACTGATGAGGAGTACCTCACAGCCACTGATGATGAGATGGAAGTGGAGGAAAGTGGTGACCCCTGTAAGTTTGTATGGAGCTAATATTATCTTGAGTTTAATATTTCTGTGTTGTCAAAGAGTTCGTAATGACAGTTGTGACTGTACATATATTAAAGAGGTAATATTTTAAGATTAATGTTAAAAGGTAAAAAAAAAGAAGGATTGAAATGCAATTTCAAACCAAATGATATTTTTCACGAATTTCAAAATGAGATATTGTGTGGCATTTGCAAAGATATGTATAGGGTAAATAGATGACTGGAATGATTACCTTGAACGTTGATCCTCAGTGGTGTCAAAGTGATTGTATCTAGTCATGCTTTAGTAGATGGATTCTTTAATTGAGTTGTCTGTAGATATAAGTCAGTGCTTTGGTATTCTATCGAGTGTAATATTGAATTGGAGTACTACTGGGCTGTCTTAATGTTTTCTGATGTTCCACAAATGTTCTGAGGCACTGTATCCTAATTCACATTTAGATTCTCCAACATATTTTTGTTTACATCAGAAGCAAGTGATAACAAGATTTTTAGTAGTAAAACTACCTCATAGTTTGCACATGTACAATAACTTTGTGTATGTGATGTTGGAGCACTTGATTCTGTTCTTGAATTTGTGGACTTTATATTTGGGGTAAACTACATTGTAAATGTTATATTTGATGGGTGTGTCCGGGAAGACATCTGGCATTAAGGCTGTGATAATGGTCCAGTGTGCTTTGATTCATTTTGGTAAGGAATGAGTGGAATGCCCATAGATAACTGTAGCATTGGTGGATAACAGGTCTTTTAGTGGCATGTTCTGATATAGGTTTTCTTTCAAGTGGTCTGTAGAAGTTGTGCTCTTATACTAGAAAGTCTTTTTTTCTGGCTTCATGGAAGAGCCATGACATCCATTGATAGTTTCACTGTGGATTTTATGATTCTTGTTTGGGTTAAATACAGTGGTATAAGAGACTGATGATAAACTCGTGTTTGGCATGGAACTTGTTAGAGTTATCTCTGTGCTCGATGGGGACTGAACAGGCATGTCCATCAGAAGACAAAATAAATAAACGGTGGAAATAACGCTACCTAGTAGTCCAAATTGTATGTAATTGTTCCATTATAAAACTCAACAGGTTTCATTCTTGTCTGACAAGGCTTTGTCTTTTCTTTCATCATTTATAAAGATAAATGTAAGGGACCACAATGTGCCTCTGGGAAAGATTGTCACTGTTTTCAGTTAGGAAGGTTGAAAGCATTGCTAGGAAAGGAATTGGTTTGCTCAGATGAATAGAAGGCTTAAATTGCTTTGGATTAAGGGGATCACTCTTTATAGTCTGGTGTTTCTTAAATCAAAGGTAGTGATATGTTTATAACCTTTGTTATATATGAGCACATACTCAGTTAATTTTCTACTTGCCTTGTAGATTTCAATGCGGTTTCCAATCTTGCAGATGGTCTCCTTGTTGACATTCTTTCCTCAGCTCTACTGGAAGCTTCAAGTTGCCTTAAAGGTCAAGGTCAGGGACATCATGGTAGTCATTGTCAAAATGTTCCGCCCACTCAACAGATTTCTGTCAAATTTGAGGAAGCATCTATTAAGCCTGGTGATGGATTACCACTGGAAGGGAAAGAGAACTTGGATGTAGATCTTTCTGATTGGGTGTCCAGGTTTAGGAGACGCAGTTCTAATTTAAGTGACATTGGTTCACGTAGTAGTACCACTAGTACGAGGCAGAGTTCAGAGTTTAGTTCAGAGTTTGAAGAATTCTATGAAAACTTCCAAAAACGAGAACAACCAGTGATTCAAAAAACTATTAAAGAAGAGAATTTTCTAGATATTAATGAATATGCCATCAATTTAGCAGCAAAACTTTTACATGAGGGAACAGTTTTGGCAGCTCACATTAAGAAACCAGGCATTCAAAACTTCCATTCTAGTGCTCCTGACAAATCAATGGTGAAACCAAAAGCCAGGAAGAAATCCACTGATAGCATGGAAAGTGGTAGTAGTGACACAGACGACCATGTCCTTGACTCATCATTGTCACATGCTCAACAACATTCCATTGAACAGCCTAGCGAGAGGCTTCAAACCTCAGAGACAAAATGTGATATTTCAGAAGCTACTGCAAGGAGATTTGCAGACAGTTTTATCAGGACACTTTTTCCATTCCCAGAACAGATTACTAGAGATTCCAACAAGCCAAGCTGTGATGAGGAAGCAGATTTTGGGGCATCTTGTAGCACTGGCGATACTTTTCCTGCGGCTGGAAGGCTGGAGGCTAGTGCTTCATCAGAATTATATACTGTGTATACATCTGATCTCTTAAGACAAGATATTTTAACAGAACAAAACAAAATGAAGAAAAACAATTACCTCAAATCTAAGTCAAAAGACTTGGGGAATTCTTCACGTGCAATGGCAAGAGAGATGAAGATGGTGGCTACAGATTTTGTACATGGGGTTGTGATTGGAGCCCTTCAGAAATATTCTGAGGAGCTAGACAGTGATATCAGTATTCAGGATATAGACCATGATACGTTTGATAGTGATTCTGATTCAGGTGGCATTGTGTTAAAGCAGGAGGACGAGAGAATGAATGAATGTGATGATATAGACAATACAGATAGCAAACTTGTGTTTGATCATCTAGCTGAGCATGAAAGTTACAATAAAGATGTTGACAGTTCAAACAATGTATTTTTCCTTGGAGATAGTGCCAGTGTCTGTGACGCAAGGAATCAGGCACAGAGACATTCCAACACACACAATCAAGTCGTTGAGACTTTAAATTCTGATAGACCATTAACTGCAGCTGATATTATTGTCCAAGTTGAGAATACTGATGAGAATTGTAGGATACCGCAAGTGATGATCACTGATGAAAGCAAACATGAACAAATGTCGGAGGAAGCTTATCTAAATGTTGCAGAAAGGATTGTACAGGACCAGGTTGCAAATGCACTGTTAGGTATGGCCTCTTTAAGTAGAGAAAATGTGTCAAATGATGCAAGTGTGAGACCTAAAACTGAGAGAGTTCCAAGGAAAGGAAAGTTGAGACCAAAATCCAAATTATCTGATAATGAACTGGAACCTCCTAGAAACAAATACCGCTGCCATAGCACCAACAGTAGTGGGAGTTGTCTTTCTTTGTCTCGTGATAACCACCGTGAATTACATGGTGAGGAAAAGGAACCTCGGAAAGTGACTTTCTTTGCGTCCTCGCTTTCTAGAGATCTCCTAACCAATGCCTTTGTGGAAGTTCAGCGGAATATGAATGGCGGTAATGTTTATCGCCGGAGTAGTGAACCTTTAAAAATTTCAAATCATGCTGCAAAATGCCTGATTGAGAATTCAACCAATGGGACCACTGGAAAGGGAGAAAAACACATGAGTTTGACGGATGAAGATGTAGGAAGATTTGCTCAGGAACTCAGTCGATGGGGATCCCTAGAGGAGTTCAGGGCACAGCTTCGCCGTGGCTCTTGTGGGTTTAGAGACCCAACCCTTTCTCGGTAATCTATATGTTCAGATTTTTGGGTCAGTTTTTAATAAATGGATTCAGTCATTAAAATTAAATGACAAGGTCCCCAAATTAATACCTGCCCTTGAGTTAGTCCAAAGTCAGTTTCATGATTATGTTCTACTTCCAGGAATTTTTTTGGCCCTAGCTAATTCTAACACATGTTTATTCAATAAAACTGGTTTTCTACATGATTATAATTGACATGTGACCTTTCAAACTTTGTTTCAGTTTACTCTATAAATCACATGAACATATTAAGTATACATTGAAAGCATTTCACTAGGTTTTTAACAGAATCTTGACCAGATGTACCTCCATGGTGATGGACTGTGCTGTGCTGTAATACTAACAAAATAACGTTGCTTCTTTTTTAGCCCACCATCTAATAGATGATGGGTTAATCAAATCGCCCTGCGTCCGTGGTCCGTCGTCCATCCGTCCGTAAACAATTCTTGTTACTGAGAGGTGGCCATCTTGGATTTTGGATGTAAAAGTTTGTTACTGCTATTTCTTGGAAAGTACTGGATAGATCTTTCTAAAATTTCATATGCAGTTTCCCCTTGGTCCCTAGTTGTGCATTGTACCTTTTTGGACTGATTTGAATTCAAGATGGCCGACAGGGGGCCATCTTGGATTTTGGATGTAAAAGTTTGTTACCGCTATTTCTTGGAAAGTACTGGATGGATCTTTCTCAAATTTCATATGCAGTTTCCCCTTGGTCCCTAGTTGTGCATTGTACCTTTTTTGGACTGATTCGAATTCAAGATGGCCGACAGGTGGCCATCTTGGATTTTGAATGTAAAAGTTTGTTACTGCTATTTCTTGGAAAGTACTGGATGGATCTTTCTCAAATTTCATATGCAGTTCCCTTTGGTTCCAAGTTGTGCATTATACCTTTTTGGACTGATCCGAAATCAAGATGTAACTGACTGCTATCTAATAATACTTTGGGATCTTTTTCAAATGATATTTGCTAATAGGTGCTTAATAAAAACACTTGTGCCATCATTGAGTACATTCAATGAAGACCAGTTCATGAACATTTACAACACCTGTAACATACAAACAAAAATAAACAAATCTTCAAGAACTGAAAACAGATCCTCAAATGGTGGGCACCAAGATCCCTCTGGGATCTCTTGTTTTTTTTTCCCTCAGTTTTCAGTCACCTGTCTCA